AATTTCGATGTTTGGGTCTAGTCGTTGAAAACTTTGTGACGAACTATGGTCTCCCCTTAGTACGATGTTACGTACTAGACAAACAATGACAATCGTTTAGCGAAGTCTCTGTACAAAACATATATAGTCTCTGGATATTATATAACAATTTTTTCTCATATCGATTGGAAATACAGAAACGACAGAGTAAATTTCCCCTTGGAGATAGTCCGTTTTACGTGAAAACATGAGAAAATATGTACTTATACACAGGGGCCACAAGTTCCTTGAGTGTGTCACAGTCTTTTGTGTTAGGAGAGAAGATAAAGAAGATGCGTTTAGAGATTTTTTTTTCCCCGAACGTTGCTAGACTATGTCTGACTAAGGTTTAAACTTGTGACAGGACTGCAGCCTGCCACCGCGATGCCGATAACGCAGTTAAAGGTGGATAGTCCCCCTTACTCTCCAACCCGGTGCACCCGGTGCCGACCGGTAGACGCGAAGCTTTCGCACATCTGCGACATCATGTATACTGTCCGACATTCACCGCGACATCAGACGGTGTTTTTCGTCGCTTCTTCTGAAGGGAACGTACGAACGGTAACCAACGGGAAGTGACAAATAAGAGCGACACCCGAGAAAAAAGGAGCGAGGCGGCTCCGTTCGCATAACGCGGAGGGACGAAATTATTTTGTTTACTTATTAATGAGGTATATAGTATACAATATGTACCGGGTGTAAGAGTTTGTTTCATATGCATTACTGAAGGACGTTATAATTAACTTGTACGAAATACCTAAATCTTTTACTAGTCATAACTAATATTTTCTAACCAACATACATAACTAAATTTAACTGTACGTAGGGCGATTCTTTTTATCACGGATGATTGGCATCGTTGCGTCTTGACGAAGCTATTATAAAGGGGCCAACTCCTCGAAAAACTAATGTCTAAACTTTTGTCTAGCAACGAACGAAATTTTCATCGTGTGTAAGTAATACAGTTTGGAGCCTTTCATAGATCTATACAGGACGATGGATTTACGGTTTCATTGACGGGTGTAAACATGGACAGGACGTCCCCGCACCAGTCAACGATCGAGTGTCTTAGCTCCGGGGACGTTTTTGTCCCGACTCAGATTCTCGTTTGTCTCGCTTTACTCCGTATTCGATTTTCACGTGCCTAGACAAACCATAAAACTTTTTTCTGATATACAATATATGAAATATATCCATACGGAGTTTATATACAAAGTTGTTATATTCGTATCCAGGTGAAAATTTACGACACAGCCGTACCCTTTTAAACCTAAAGATACAATCAAATGATTGCGACTATAAAACTGCGTAATATTTGTATGTATGTATCTTACGGTTAAAAAGGGTAGGCCTGTGTGTAAATTTCACCTGTTCATACGATATAAAGCTTTGGTATATAACATCCCGGTATTGGATATATTCATATATTTAAGTATCAAAAAAAAGTTTTATGGTTTGTCTAGGCGTAAAATCGATACGGAGTAAAGCGAGATAAAGAGAAAGGTCGGACAAAAACGTCCCCCGACTAAGACACTCGACTGTTGA